GACGAATTACTATGTATCTTAATGTGCAAAGTTGAGAACCTGCATTTGTGAATACTGCAATTAAAACAATTTTTTTAGGGGAAGTTAATGTGCTGTTCTCTTGGCTATAATCATCACCACCGGTTTCTGTTTTTTTGTGTGTATTGCACTGTTGCGGAATGGGCACCCCCCTTCCATTCCAATTCCATTCCGGGGAATTAGAGTTTTCGATAATTCAATTCCTTTCAATTCCCAGGAATGGGGACACTGGGCCCATTCCCACTCCTGGAATGGCTGAATTGTTCCATTCCATTCCTTTAATTCCTAAACGTAAAAAATTGGCACTTGACAGCTACATTGTGTTGCCGGCATAAGCAGCATAAAGCTGACATAATCAAATGCAGAGACAATTGCAAAAAAAAAAAAAGCTAAATTCCTTAAAAAGTTGTGATTTTACTAAGCGGGCCGCTGGTGGCACAAAGTGTTTATTTACAATGTACTGCAAGCATCGAGAAAGCCCCTTGATATGTCGATGCTTGTTTAAGACATCGGTCTCGCGACCACGTGGCTCGCAACAAACAGCAAAACTTAAATCCACTGATTTTCTTTTCTTTTTTAACTTTTTTTTGCATTTGACTTTTAAGACATACGCGGCCAGCGTGTTTGTTTGATAAAACCATAAAAAATATCCAGTTCGTGCGTGGTGCAGGAATAAGCTATATTACTGTATTCTTCAAATACAGCAACACGGCTAGTACACTGCTGGAAGCGACTCCATGCACAGCGGCAGAACACATCCTCTAACAAAATGCAACCTCTGCGGCGCAGCACGAGGGACCGTATAGGCCATGTCACGAAACCTGTTTTAAAACGCATAAGTTCACGCTTGTTTCACGAATCTCGATATTTCTTATCATATTCAATTCAATTTTTGGCTGGTTCGCCTGCCCTTTTCCATTCTTCGCATACTTATTGCATACTTATTCTCGTGTTTCCTCTTCAGATGGCGAATAAAGTTCAATGATATACGCCGACTGCACCGTGTATACTTTCGTTGCACAACTTTCAGCGTGCAGCTTGTTTATTTTCTTCGCGACTAATGTAGAAAAATGTCTCCTACGATGCCATGACTCGATCTGTATTTACCTTGTCTTCTCGTCCGAATTGCAATGTTCCCCTTCGCGCTGATCGAGTGGCGGTTTCAAGCAGCAGATGGTACCAACCGATTCATTATTCTACCTCGGTGTCGGTTGTTCGCGTAGTTGCGACGGGTCGGGAAGTCAGCGTTGACAAAGCTCTTCCCATCAAGATACAATTAACGGGGTAATACCGCACCGTTCGAATTGACATTCCCCGTGTTTCCCCAACAACACCGTCCAACTGACTTCTCACCGCCTCAAACAGGGTCCCGGACAAGGAGCAAAATGCAGATCGGACAGCCGAGACGCGCGGAAGCCTAAACCTCAGTGGCAGCTAGCACCCAGCTCTCCTTCTCAGTTGCCCTCACAGCAACGGTTGCGCCTCGTCTGGCGCGGGACGGTCTTTCTCCAGGTCTAGTCAGTTCGGTCACACCAAGAGCGGTGACGATAGTCTACTTCACCTTACGACGGACCTCAAAAGACAGCACGAGAGTCATCGAAACCAATCCAGTGCGTTCTGAGTGTCGCGTGACCCTGCAGTCCCTCTCACGGTGCTGGATTGCCTAGGGTGACTCGTAGCGTCCGCAGCGGTCCATCGCAAGGTAAAACGAAGTATGCTTAGACTAAAGTCAAAGGAAATGAACGGGAATCCGCTAGCTTGATAGATAGATAGATAGATATTTATTTGTACATTTAAGTACAGGTCGCAACCCCAACCCACTAAAACATATAACACAAAAAACAAGCATCGGAACAAAGACCAAGTAAAAGGCGGACTTACACTACAAGTGCAGTATAAAAAAACAAGCCTCGGAGCAAAGCGCAAGAGGAGAAAAGGGAAGTGAATCTCGCTTTGTTTTAATGCCGAAGCAAACCCACATTTCGCACTTCAAAGGAGTGCGCGCGAATGAACGTGGAAGGCAGCAGGGCCGGCAGGGCTGGCTGCCTCCTAAACAACGCTCCTCGAACTATAAGAAAACGATACCTGGTCATCTTTCGGCGCCGCCTGAGTCAACGAGTTATCAGAGCTCTGGGAGTTATGAGTCGCTTCCGCTCCCAGATCTCAGTCTGTGCGCGCGCGTGCATTCTACAAACCGTCGCAACAACAAAAAAAGCATGACAAGAAGGACGATGAGGAGTTGTGCATGGCGGTTTCTTTCTTTGCCGCTCCCTTTGCTTTTGATTGGTGCTTGATTTCTTGTTTCGCTCTCGTGTAACGCCATCGAAGCCTGACGCCTGCGCGTCCGTGAAAGGCGCCACGTTACCCCCCTTTCCCCCTTTGCTTTGCCGCTTGTTTTATGTATTGCATTTTTTTTTGTGTGTATAGGAATGTTAGGGCTCCACGCGGGCTAGCAGTTTCCCGCTCATTTTATTTCTGAGTAACTGACTCGCTGACTGGCCCGGTTTAGCTGACCGTAAACACACACACACAAAAAAAAAAAAAAAGAACCGTGCGCATTCCATTTTCATTCATTTCATTTCATTTATTTGTACCTCACAAGCGCCCCAAGGGGGCATACATGAGGGGGAAATTCAACAGTATATAAGGGAAACAGAACAGTGAAAATATGAGCACACATCATGCAAAAAGAACAATATAATGAAAACACGCGGAAAACATACATTTCAACTTACGCAGTATTGAGCACACGCACTTTTAAATTCGTCGACATTTACTAAAGTCACAATGTTGGCTGGAAGTTTGTTCCAGTCGGAAATTGCCAACTGTAAAGGTGACGTCTGGAAAAGTTTAGTATGTGATGTTTGTAGTAGTACCTTATGTTCATGATCAAATCGAGGAAAAATACGGTGTGGCGGCTTTAATAGTTCAAGCTTGAGGAGTGGGTTATTATAATAGATGTTATGGATGAAGGTTAGCCTAGAAAGTTTTCTTCTGATAGAGAGGAGTGGCAAGTCAGCTTTTTCTTTCAGCTGAGATACGCTTGTGTGTCGAGAATAATCTTTGTAAATAAATCTGCTTGCCCTGTTCTGAATTGACTCTTTTTGTTGAATTAGGTAGCCTTGAGAAGGGTTCCATATGATAGAGGCATACTCTAATTGAGACCGAACATATGATTTGTAAGCGAGTAAACGAACGTCCGGACGTACCAGATATAAATTTCGGCTTAGAAAACCTAATGACCTACTAGCCTTGCTAGCCACATAATTTACGTGGTCCTGCCAGTGTAGGTTCTTTTCAATTTCACCTGCCTCTAGATCTAAGTGGTCTTTGACAAAGCAAATTATTATTTCTTCAGATCTGGCCCAGGTTTCCCTGGGTTCCTCTGGAATGCCTTTGAATACAAGATTATTCCGGCGGATACGGTTATCAAGAGCGTTGAGGTCGCTAGCAAGGCTATGCGTAGTTTCAAAGTTAAACGATATTGATTCGACTTTTTCTTCCAGCGAGCGTAGGTCTTGAGGGACTCTAGTAACTTCTTAGTTCCCGACAATTCCTCAACCTTTCTTTCAAGACTCGTGACCCTTGCGCTTAATTCACCGACCCCTATAGTGATCGCGCTAAGCTTTGACAGACTTTCTTGGTGGTTTAACTCAGACTTTAGGAGGAGAGCTTCCAGCTTCTCTTGCAACGCAGCAAGAGTTGGCTGGTCGGGGGCATTCTTGTGGCCGGGGTTCATCTCTACGTCTCCGGACAAGATGAGGAGTGAGCATACCCACGCGAGTGCAAACACAACTCTGATCGACGGAACAACAGCAAGAACTCGCAGACAAAATAAAAAAAACGTTTCCACTTTACACATTTGCAGGTGCTAGAAGGGAGGAAACATCATATTCTTGCTCGATAAACACAAACATCGACACCCATGATTTGCCAACACGTACTGTACAAACAAAAGTAGAACACTGGGATTTGCGGCCTGATAGTATGACAAATTCTACTCAAGAAAAGAGTAAGCGTGCACTCTCACCTGCAAGTGTGGAAGACAAGATTAGCTTTTCAGCCAAGCGAGTGGCCGCAAATCCCAGATGATGAAGGCTTGACGAGCCTTTTGTGCAGTCACGTAAGCACGTGACACGGGGGTGTAGAACTAGCAGACAATTAGAGTCCGAGCGGCGTGAAGTACGTGGTCGTAACGGGAACCAGTTGGCTCCGGAAATCCGTTGAGCAGGGCGCTGAGTGCCGTCGAATGCCACGTAAAAGGACAGCACGATACGGCAACGATATAGACGCTTGTGCTTCACTTTGGGCTCGAGATAACTCGTTGATGAAACTGCAAAGTGTGGAAGACAAGATTAGCTTTTCAGCCAAGCGAGTGGCCGCAAATCCCCTCCATTCCATTCCCCTCAACGTTGCCGCCATTCCGTTCCCAGTCCATTCCGGGGTCGTGAAAATGCGGAATGATTCGGGAATCATTCCAACTCCGGAGTGGCAACTCCGCAACACTGGTGTGTTGTAGAGAATAGAATGAGCGTCCTGCTTGAGTCGACGTGTCGTTCTTTCAGCGGTGACCCTTCAGGACGCTACACTCTGCACCGGCACTTTGCTCCAACGAAATTTGTTTTGAGTTCTTGTTTTATTTTGTCGCGTCTAATCTGGGGCCCAACCTCCGCACATGTTCGAACCCGCTGAAGTGTTAAAAAAAGATAGGGTAATTTTAATCGCGAAAAGTATCCGTGTCTTTGCAGATACTTCTAGGTTACTGTTTAAAAAAGTACTTCAGTTCTCGCTACACTTAAAAAAATGTATCGAGTTACAGTTAAAAGCCACAGAAAAGAAACAACTTATAGTATTGGCAAGTATCGCAATGCTACCCAAGACTGAGAAAAACAGGAGACTGGCGATGGCCTGTTCACGTTGACAGTGTCGTGGAGTGTGCACAAAACCGGCGGCAGTGACTGAAAGGCTTGTTTCATGCGCAGCCCTGGTTGGCTCTGTGTGCGTGGGCGCCACCTTCTCGCTGTCCCCCGTGGCAAGCCTCCTGGCGGACCGGATTGGCTTCAGGAGTACAGTGATCTCGGGAGGCCTCCTGGCCGCGTCGGGGCTCCTGCTAAGTTCCTGGGTGCTTCAGGTGGGACCGCAGTTAGCTGCTTTATACGTCAGTATGTTGTCCTGCCTGCGGTCTGGTTTATACACTGAGGCAAAATTAATAGGTGGGCTAGTCGGTGCACCAAAAGAAGAAAAAGCGCCTCAAAAACAGGGACCAAAAAAAAAAAAAAGGAAAAAAAGGGACGACACCGAGCGCTACTTACAGCTAGATTGTTTATTGGAAAACAATATTTGTACACATCATCGGACTCCCGGCACAGGAAGGTGACCTCCTTATCAGATAGGTGCCGTGACGGTGTGATTACGCAGTTTGTCTAACTCCTCGCCGTTATGCTATACACTTAAAGAAATTCCCAGTCAGTTTTATTTTGTCAATAACAAACACAAAAAAGCAAAGAGACACGCATAAAGAAACTGAGGGCAATTTTTGAGACGTATAGCACAAGGGCGAGGCGAAGGGGGGGGGGGGGGGGGGGGGGGGGGGGACTGGTGAGTTACTGATGCGCGGCCAGCCGTATCGATACCTGGGAATCCCCACTTTGACGTTGCCAGAGAATTTGGAATCGCAATTGGTGCAAGTGATGATATGCTGGGCTACCACAGCCTGTCGGTTTAAGTCTTTGGTGGGATGGCTTAAAAGGCGATGGTTTAACCTAGTGGGCATCATATTTCAAGGGGTCATTGAGACACAAGCCGGTCTGACCACTATAGTGTGATCCACACCGAAGCGAAATCGAGTGCTCTCAGTGTTTGTGCACGGGACATATTTGGTGGCACGCTTTTTCGAAGCACGCCTGCAGTAGAGTCGGGTTGTTGACTTTTTGCAGAGTGAACAGAGTTTGAGCCGTGCATGAAAAGAGAACTTCGTGTTATGTCGGAGGGCCAGCGATATGAGCCTGTGAGATATTATGGAAGTACGGAATGCACACATATAGGAAAGCAGAAAGGCTCCTATTAGATCAGTCGAGGGAGCATTGAGCTGTGATGATGAAATTAAAGGACATACGCAAAGGGGAAAAAAATAAAGAGGCAGGATGCTAAAAAAAGGAAGTCATAAAACTAATTTACAAGGAACAAAATATTTTTTATAGCATTTAAGGCGCAAGAAGATTTTCTCAAGCGAGGTGTAACGGTCCTCCTCTCCACTTTTTTCTTTCGCGCCTGTGCGCTCCGCGTAAAGGAGAGATAAGCTGGTTTGATTGGCTCGGCTGCTCGGCTTTAAAATGTACGCAAGCCTCGTGCGACCTCTGCTAAACTTCGGCGCGAGCTCTGTAATTGGGTTTCTGTGCTGGTGGTGGTAGATGTGGTAGTCTGCGTGTTTTGCGATGGATGTGAAGTTGATGCGTAGTCTTCTTGACCGCATCAAGCAGATAGGGCTGATGCAATTAATGCAAAGGGGCAGGCGAGCTGGGTGTTAGACTGGAAGAAACTGATAAAACCCGTTTGGTCTACTGACGTCTGGCTCCTGGTTAGCTTAGTTGGTGGAGCGCTCCACTGGAAATGGAGAGGTACCTGGTTCGATACCAGGACCAAGCGGATTATTTCAGAGCACACCTAGCAGCCTAGAAGTGTTTGGAGATTTGTTTTTTTATTGTCCCTTTTATTCTCCTCTCAAAGGGTTATTATCAGTTCTGTCCAGCTCGCCTGCATAATTACCTGAAAAATGCAGGCCATTCACCCTTGCTACTGTTAGACTTGTGGCAGTTGATAAAACCCGTTTGTTGCACTGACGTCTCTGGTTAGCTTGGCAATAAAAAAAAAAAAGACGTCTCTGGTTAGTTCAGTTGGTACAGGGCTCCACTGGAAATGGAGAGGTCCCTGGTTCAATACCAGGACCAGAATAATTTTTTCAGAGCACACCAGTCGCCTAGCTGTGTTTGGAGATTTTTGCTTGTCCTTTGTCCCCTTTGTTCCCCTTTTCCAGGGATTATTATCGTTTAGCTATACTTCGTTTCAGCTTCCGTCCGAGCGCAGCCAAAGGCTGAGGGACGGTTCGCAACTTCGAGAAGAGCATTCCTACGCACCACAAAGTAGTTCACAAAAGTAATTTCTTTTAAAATAAAAGTTTTGTGCGTACAAACTGCACAATGTTCCAGATGTGTACTGCTGAGAATGATTTGCAGCTAAAGGAATCAAATCTGTGAAGTTTATGTTTCTATTAATATATGTAAATGCATGTGGTTTGGTGAAAACATGTATATCCGCTGGCAACACTGCAGCGCTCGGTTTTTCTGCGTGATTTTGTTCCCGTAATCGCCGAATCATGTGCTTCGCTGCTTTCCTCACCAAGTCGCTTCAAAACGCCGTTTCGCAAAGGCACGTTTGGGCGTTAGGCGCGAGAAGTCGTGATAAATGTCTACTTTCAAATTCGGCAGGAGACTCCGGGCGCGTCGTACCGCGAATGCGTTGTAAACAAGAAAAGCGTCCGGGCCACTACAATTCAGATACGCGGCGAAATCAGGGCACCCTTTTACGTGCCGATGACATTGAACGCCGAGAAGCTGGTGGAAAGGACTGCGCCTCGAGCCCTGGTATATCCAAAGAATACAAGGAAACATCAACGGCCGGGTCATCGGGGACCCTGCAACGCGTACTTACAACTCGAAACTATGCCGAACAGGTGGAAAGCTCGGACACAGATGCCAGCGGCCAGCCTACGTACTGACATCCCCTGTGACTAAGTTTCAGAACGTGAAAGGGCACTTTTTAAACCTGTAGCAGACGATATCCTTGATACACCCGTAGCAGACGAAATACTCGGCGAGCGCGGGCGGCGCGGACGACCAGCGGCGCAGCGGAGTGATACAAAGGTGCAGTGACCTATTGCCGGCGTGTGATTGGCTCCGGCCACACGTAGCTTTGGCTGCGCTCGGACGGAAGCTGAAACGAAGTATAGGGCTCCGCCTTTACGAATACACGCCTCGAAGACCAGCGAACCTCCCCGCGGAAAGCTTCGAGGCCGGTGATGCTCCTGAGGACAGCGGAGCCGGCGGGTCGCATGCAGCTCCCGCTCGAGGCCTATGAATCAAAATGGAAGAAACAATTTTCTTATACTTGTTTCACAAACAACAAAATATTTTGTTAAAAAAAAGTGCAAAAACGAAGTCCAGTAAGTAGTTTTTAGAGCCCATAGGAAGCTCCAGAAACAGCGCAAGCACCACGTGACTATAGTGGCCAGTAACGTGATTGCTATTTCGAACTTTTCCGCGGGCTACCGCGGAAAAGTTCGAAATAGCGCCGTACATATAGCTCTAAATTTTCGTTCCTTGTGAATTCGTTTGATAGGATCCTTTTTTGATCCAGGCTGTTTTGAAAAAAAAGTTGTTTTCCTTTCCATAAGTTCAATAATATTGTTTTCTAAAAAACATTTCCGGTCATACTGCTTTGACACGACGGGTGAGCTGCTCTGAGAAACTCTTGGGCAAAGTGAGGACCGGATTTGGAGTGGGCCGAGGTCATTGGAGTTTTTTACATTAGAGCTCTTGCAAACTCAGAGCGATCCTAGTGGCGTAGCACCGCGCAATGCATTTTGTCCAGGTTTTGGTCATTGCTTCGGTATACATTTTCCTACATTAATTCGCAACATCAATTCACGACCAAATACAGCGCGTGCATTTTCGAACACGTGAATTTTATTAAATTTGAGGCGTTGGTTACCAATACGGATGTGATATTAGGGCGCGTTTTGGCGGGCTCCCGACGTACCAGAGTTTGCGCGCAGGCAAACAAAAGGAAAAAAAATAAGTGTACTTGGCCGATAATTTTTTTCCGCCGTCTCAGGGTCCGAGGTTTTTTAAGTGATCCGTGAACGGGGAGGGTCAAACTGCGCTCAGGAGTGGTAGCCAGGCTGCCAGAAAGGTATGGGAGATGAATGGGTCCCATGAGAGCGAGTGGTGACTGCATCTTCATGCAGTGCGGCGATGCACTACTTCGTAAATGGGGTAATCGAAATCGAAACCATGATACTCCTCTCCATGGCCAAAGAGGTGCCATAATTCAAAACGCTCAGTGTTGCACGCAGGGATTCGTAAAATCAGTCTATTCAGCGTTTTAGTTGTTTGCTTTTTTTTCTTCTTTTTTAGTGGCAACTGTTTAAAGAAAGAACCGGCTTGCATAATCAATGCCGGAAAGACCATCACATTTCTGATTGAGATGGTCGTAAGCAAATGAAACTGAAGCTCCTCCCACGTGGAATTTCCCACACATTGATACCAATGGATCGCGTTCGAACGCTAATGCCGGGCTCCGGCGCGCGTTCGATGAGTGAGCAGATACAAAGGAAGCTAGCTCCACGCCTACCAACTGAGCATTCCAGTCACAGCTCGGTGTTCTGACATCCCCGCGCGCTCTCGTCTCTTCCTTTCCCCGAGTTTCGACCCGTATATTCCGATTCATGCTTTGTCTACAATGCTATCAAAGCTACGTGCGTGAGCGCGTGGCTTGGTGTGAAGCCACGCACTCGCGCCAGAACTTTTGATGGTGGTATTAATAATAATAATATTCAATCTTTATTTAATGTGCCCAAGAACAACCACAGTGGTTTTCACTTTGATACACACAATAAAAAAGTAAAAACCAAGCGAACAAACATGGCCGATCAAAGGACGAGATAACATTAAATTGACCAGTGGAAGAGAGGCGCGGAAAGTATGCACGATAAACGTTTGCCGCGTGGTATCTTAACTTTTTTACGGAAAACGGAAATATCACCGAATATATCCAGGCTAGACAACGCGCTTCTATTGAACGAAGTCTGCGAACGAGACATTGGCAACACACTACAAATTGAAGGAACGTAAAAAAATAGTAAAATGTCAAGTAAAACGGCAGGGAACGTGAAAATAATACTTCCCGAAAGCAAGTCAGTGTTGAACGCCCCATTCAGAACGTTGTACAAGAAAACTAGGTCACGTTACAGCCTTCTGTTCAACAAGGGTACGAGAGAAACTCTATTAAGAAGAAATTCATAATTATAATAAAAACGACGTAGGATGTGTCTTCATATACAATGCGTATCAGCCTTTTTTGCGCGGATTCAATGCTCAACGGCTGCGTGCGAGATAGCGAACTCCAAATAACTGAACCGAATTCGAGCCTAGATCGTACTAACACACAAAATAAACGAATCCAACATGCAGAGTGTCTGAACTGCTTAGTCACACGAGAAATCATGCCCAGCATTTTCGTTGCGTTTTCGACAATAAGAGACACATGAGCTGTGAACATACACACCGAGATGCGTAACAACAGTCACGCGTTCGATTTGCGTTCCCCCTAAAACGTAGGTAAAAGGTATAGCATCATGGCGTCGGCAAAGAAAGAGCCTTAGTCTTAAGAAAATTTAGAAGCAAGCTGTTCGCTGAACACCAGCGTAGTATGTTATTCCCGTCGCTTTGAAGTAAGATGCAATCAATAAGAGAATTGACACTCATATAAATCTTGATGTCATCTGCGAACAGTAGTATTTCAGCCTTTTTGACATTTGATGTTATATCGCGAACAAATATTAAGAACAGAAGCGGCCCAAGTATAGACACCTGGGGGACACCTGAAGTTGAAGGAAACGTTTTCGGGTGGGTGCCAAAAATGCGAACACTATTCGTACAAGGTGACGAATAACTTTTAAACCAGATACATAATGCCGAACAAGAACCATATAAAGAAAGCTTGTTCAGTAGCAGTCCGTGGTCAACTTTATCCAATGCTTTATACATGTCGAAGTAAATAGCATCTACCTACCCCAATTGTTCACAACAACAGGCACAGAGTAATTTAAAAAGGAACACAGGTTGGTCTCAACCGACCGACCTGTCATGAACCCATGATGCACGGTCGTTAATTTCTGACGAAAATAAAACATAGCACGTTTATGCATCAGCTTTTGAAACACCTTCGAAAACCCGCACAATAACGAAACAGGACAATAATTACAGATATCTGAAGCATCGCCCCCCTTTAAAATTGGAATGACAACCGCGTTCTTCCATAACAATGGGAATACACCAGAAACCAGCGATAGATTAAAAATATGCTTCAAAATCGGTGCAACCAAGTCACCACAACCATTGATAATAAAACCTGGAATGAGATCAGCTCCACTACATAAATTTGGCTTTAGTTGTCTGATAGCCTCTACGATTTCTTCGTTTACTCTTAAACCAGAAAATGTGGCCTGGCGGTTAATATGAGCGTCGCCGGGGTGGATGGAACAGATCCGTCCGTATTAAAGGTGATAAAACTAAAGTAATGTCATTGATCGGAATGTTAGAACAAGATCAAAAATATTACCTGGGATCTTCTCAAATTTGTTTAGCTGATTCAACCCACAAAAATGCCTAAGAGATAGCAACCGATTGCCTTAGATAACGTAATGGAATTGCTGCTATACATCAACTATGAACAAGTCATAGTTGGTTGTACACCAACTATGAACAATTCCTTACAAGTAACAGTTATTGAAGATTTTGATGACGTGGTTTTGAACCTGCTTTTATGGGTTCGTCTTTAGACCGCCAGGCGTAGTGAATATCTGATCCGCGCAAAAAAAGCTGGTAATAAACATGTCGCGACAGCTTTCTATCTTAGCTGCTAGATGCCGCCAATTTCGAAAAAGTCACCAATAGCTGTTAGAGCCTGGATGATGGATGACGTATTTTGTGCACGACCTTGCGAAATTTTTAAATAAAAAAGCGGAAGTCAGTAATGGGTGTGCTCTGGTTTGCACCAAGGAGATAACATTTTCCCGAAATCTACAGTTTGCAAATTGCGGGCTGAAACCTCAATAGATACGCCAGAAAATATAAACTTTCTATATTATTGTGAGAGAATATCGGGAGAGATAGGGTTTAGAGAGTGGTTCTTGCAGGTGCCGCTCCTATGGATCACATACGGCGGTCTCGTCGGCGTGGGCGCGTCCCTGTCATACGCTCCTTCCCTGGCAGTGCTGGCGCTGCACTTCGACCGGCGCCTGGGCCTGGCCAACGGAATTGCGTCGGCCGGTAGCTCGGCCTTCACCATGCTGCTGCCGCTACCGCTCTCGGCCCTGCTCAGGCAGCTGGGCCTCCAGAAGACGCTTTGGGTGAGAATACAGCAGCTCTGAACCAACACCACCTACATAGCCGTACAACTGGAATCCTTACGTCGCCCATCGGAGAACAACGGATTGGACACAGGAGAGATTTGCGTTGCAACAGCTACTCACCAAGGACTGCGATTTAACAAAAAATTCCGTTCAGTTCAACATCTACAAATTTAGAAAACAAAATTATTCGCTACAAAGTCGACACTGAAAAAGTAATTAAATTACTATAATCGTTACTGCTCAAGAATGTAATTAAAGCGTTACGAAATTAAAATAAAGTATGATTAATTACAAGTAATCAAATATACTTGCAGCGCGTTACTTGCAAGTCTACTGCGGAAGAAATCTAGCGACTCGGAAACACTTTCACACTGTTCTTAGGGTTAACTGCCATTTTACCACACCATGTTTTTGTTTTCCTGGTTTTTTTGTTGAATTTCAGTCCTTCCATTTCCGGGTGCGGCTTGAGGAAGTTGAAACCGGGGCGTTTTTAAAGTGTGGAAGCCATTTATTTCCGGCATAACAAAAAAAAAAAAATCATACACACACGCATAAAAACCTCGGTCGTTACAGGTCCTGGCCGTTCTTCTCTCGACAGTGGCGGTTGCAGGCCTGACCTTCAAAAGCACCCGGAACGTCGTGGCACACGAAAGGGGATTTCGGGACGAGGTAGGCCTTAAAATGCTGAACATGACCGACCTGAATTCTTTTCTGCGTAAGTCCGCATTTTTGGGAAAATCGGGCGAATACGAAACTCAGCTTGATCATTTGTAGTTATAGCTATAAAATGATTTGCACAGACCCGTCTTCTTATTTATGTCTAAAATGGCGTGCTGTCGATAAACTTAAATGCTACAAGTAAGGTCATCAATGTAGGCCTATTGTTTTTTAATTAAAAGCGAGAGGAGAGTAAAAGTGATACTAGCCAGTGCGGTTCTATTGGCCAAATCAATGGCCCTTAATTCCTTAGGCTCGTTAAACTTCTTGGAGTTAATATTACGGGTCTTATAGGGAAGCTTTCCAAAGTTTTCAGTTATGCTCAAGACCACTGCCTATTATTAAGTGGATAGAAATCTTCCTGGTCTCTTTGGGCGATTCGCTTACAGGTCTAAATATTCACGAGATAGTATAACAATTTCTTTTGCTGAAACCGAAGAGATATAACTGTAAGTAATGTATTAGCTAACCATTAGCTAAAACGTTTATTTCATTCATTTGTTTGACTATGGCGTATTGAACCATACCTCGTGCATTACAGAGATCGAAGGGAATGTAACAAGTTACGATTAACCAAGGGTACAGTTTTTGGGAAAATGAAGTTTTGTCATCTCTACGATATGCTGTCTGAAAGTTGAAACTGCACTCAATGTCTTTTCTGGCGTTTATTTAATTCCTTGTTGTCCCTGTCGCTAGGAGGAACATCCCAGAGAGTGCTGTGCCCTGATCCACAGGTCGCTGTGGACCAACCGAAAATACATTCTCTGGGTAACTGCCGTGCCCTTGGCGCTGTTCGGCTACTTCGTTCCTTACGTGCACCTGGTAAGCGGCGCAGATAACAAGAAACGACACCCCACTTGCCGAGAATGACTTTCACAACTCTTTGCCACGGATCCGCAAAATGAGAACATCAAATGCATTTGGATTAAATGTACACCCGTTTTGTAGTAAATTATTAAACCAGCACACACTCTGAAACAGATAGGATGACACAACAGAACATCTGTATGGCCCTGCACTCTTTCTGAACATACGGTTTGTCTAAGTTCACTTCACATAGTTTCAACTTTAGGTCTTTGCTCGATCAGCGATCTCTACAGAAATCAGTGAATGAAAATACCGAAAATTTTAAAAGCCTAGATGTTAGAATGATAAGGTTGGAATCGGCAATTCACAAGGCAACTGAACTGGAAGCAGCGGTCCGAGACCTGACAAAAACTGTCCAACTACTAGTGCGTAAGGTAGATGACCTCGAAAACCGCTCCAGACGCAACAACCTCATCATATTTGGATTAAACGAAGCAGAAAACGAAACGGCTTTGGAACTAACGCAGACCGTCCAGGCTAATGTTTTTCAAAGAGTTAACGTAAATTCCGAAAGTATCGAACGCATCCACCGTCTTGGTAAAAAGCGGCGAAGCCCACGGCCTACAATAGTACGTTTTTACAACTACCGAGAAAAAATGGAAATTTTACGCAACTGTAATAGGCTTAAGGGCACAAATATTTCTGTAAGTGAGGATTTTTCTAGGCAAGTTCAAAGTTTAAGAAAATGCCTTTGGGACTCCGCAAGAGATGAAAGAAACCGAGGTGCTAAAGTCCGGTTAGTTTATGACAAGATAGCCGTAGACGGTAGCTTGTTTTACTGGGATTTGACATCCGGTTCTCGCCGTCCATATGGGAGTGGCGATATTCTTGAAGGGGAACTGAGTCACTAAGAGGGCCCTGAAAATCAGTCGTGTTCCTGATTTACTCACCGTAATCAATCTAAACGCGCGAAGCGTATTAAACAAGAGAGCCGAGTTGGAAGCCATACTTTTGGAACATGAACCTGACGCGGTTATAATAACAGAAACGTGGTTGAGCACTCAAGTTGAAGATACGGATTTTGTACCACCGAATTATGTTTGCTTTCGTAAAGATCGGGAGTCTCGTGGAGGTGGAGTTGCAGTTGTTATCAAGGAGGAGCTAGAGAGTGAGGTGATGCCTAATTTAGATGGTATTGAATCATTGTTTTGCAAGATCGTAATAAATAAGTGTCCAATCATGATCGGAGCTGTTTACCGTCCTCCTCTGACGAACGAAACCTATTTTACGAGTATAAATGATTATCTATGTGAACATGTCCGAAGTAAAAATAGCAGAATTGTTCTGGCTGGGGATTTTAATCTGCCCAACATTGATTGGTTGAACATGTGTGCAACACATGGGGAAGTTTCCACGTCGCAAGCTTTGATCAATTTAGTATTTTCTCATGATTTGACACAAATTGTTCAACAAAGTACTAGAACGCAAGGTTCTGTTAGTTCTTTGCTTGACTTGGTCTTTTTAAGTAAACGATTGTCGCAGTCGCGATACTCGTGCGAAGTTTTGGACGGTATCTCCGACCACGACATGGTCCTCGTGACGTGTCCCTTATGGTGAATTCCACTCGTAGATCTGGAGCGCTTTCCGAAATCCGCGGGGGTGGCAAAATTCCGCTCCGTGGGACCCGCTCCGAATCGACGAGGGGAAGATAAACTTGCATTTTTGGAGCGATCTCCCCCACACCCCTCCTCACCCTTTCTCCCTCCGCCGTACAAAATGGCCGCTGCTGGAACTTGACCAGCCCATCAACGCCTCAGCCGACTGATCTTTCCGACGACCAGTGACGACTGTCACTGCTTAGCTCCAGTAGTAACACGCGACACAGGCCGGGCGAAATTATACGTACCACGGCGCCCATGTCACAAATAACGAAGACGTCCGCGTTCGGCACCGTCACATACCTTTCGGCCGCCTCGAAGCGGCGGTGCACGGACAGCGATTGCCAGCGGTGGAGTTCAGATTTCTAGTACGTACGACTTTAATAAACACGGAGGTAACAAGCCATCACTTGCGCGGTCGTTGCCTAACAACTTCTTGCTTTATTTCACGGGAAAACGCCGACGGATAGCAATGTAAAAAGGTAAACAATCACTGGCTGCAGAATGAATAGGCCTAACCTTGCGTCTGCCTCCGGCTTTTCTGTCGTTCTTCCTCTCACGATCACAGATGTCAGCGCTTACGATTTGCCACGCTCCACAGTCCCGGCTTTGTATCCCTGATCTACGCGAGGTAGAAGCGTTCGAGCCGTCACAATTTAGAGTAAACAACCGACGCACCCGAACAGATCCAACTCCATGACCCGACCGTGGCCCGACCAGCCCGACTGCCGACCGGCCCGCCGATCTCTCCAACCTCGCCGCGCATGCGCACCGCCGATTTAGACGGAAATCACGTGGGCCGCTCTGTCAAGTTCCGGAGAGATCTGTGAAATCCCGCAGAGCAAGTTCGGCGGAGTTTGGGGCGCTCCGTGGAGCGGGCGCTGCCAGAGATCTACGAGCGGAAGATGACCAACTTGAGCCAGATCTGCGAGCGGAATATGCGCGCTCCAAATGGAGCGCTTTTGGAGCGCTCGAGATCTGCGAGCGGAATTCACCATTAGGAAAGCGTGAAAAAGTACCGCCTGAAACTGTTTCCTTTCCGGATTTCTCTAAGGCAGATGATGAAAGTATATGTGACTTTTTTAATCTACATTATGATAGCTTTAGGCAATTCTCCGCATTAAACGCGACAAATGTAGACGAGATCTGGGCAAGATTTAAAACTATGGTTCACACTGCCATCAACAATTTTATTCCCCTCCGAGTCAAAAAAATCTCCAAGCAAAACCCGTGGATAACAAAAAATATTATTCGCATGAAGCGTAGGCTAAAAAGAAAAAGGCGGAATCTAAAAAAATGCGAGACACCTCAAAAGCGAGAGGAAGTACAGGGCCTTTCTGATACTTTTAAATCGGAGGTTCGCAATGCTAAATGTTTTTATATGGAAAATTCACTCACAAACTTTCTAAAAACTTCTCCAGAAAAGTTTTGGCGACATTTATCTCCGGTTAAGGAAACTGTTCCAGGTATTGTCAAGAACGGTTCTATTATAACAGACAAGTGGCAAGTTGCTTCATCATTCAACCATTACTTTCAGTCAGTTTTCACAAGAGACGATGGCATCCTTCCCAATTTCTTCGTGCCTTGTGGCATTCCTGCTATAACTGACGTGACAGTGAACCAGCAAGGTCTGTTCAATTTGTTATTAAACCTTGATGCTAAAAAATCATCCGGGCCTGACGAAATACCTAATATATTTCTAAAAAGATATGCAGAATGGTGCTCCCATTACCTGGTAATAATTTTTAACCTAACACTTGACAAAGGAACAATTCCCCGAGATTGGAAATGTGGCAAGATAATTCCGGTCCATAAGAAGGGTGATAAAACTATCTTGAGTAATTATCGACCGATTTCCCTAACGAGCACGTGCTGTAAAACTTTAGAACATATCTTATCGAAACATTTGATCACTTTTATTGAGAGTAACAAACTTCTGGGCTCTAATCAGTATGGATTCAGACGGGGGTGTTCTACAACTACGCAGCTAATCGAAATTTTTCATGATTTGAGCATAACCGCAGATAAAGGGGGGCAGACAGATATTATATTTTTAGATTTCGCTAAAGCTTTTGACCGCGTATCGCACCCGAAATTGTTGTACAAGCTTAGTCACGTTCTTAAGAATGATCAGATAGTCGATTGGTTGAACTCATATTTATCAGGACGGGAACAGTATGTGTATTTTAAAAAGGAGAGAACAGAATCATTACAAGTAATATCCGGCGTCCCGCAGGGATCGGTGCTTGGACCGCTTCTTTTTATATTATTTATCAGCGACATGGGAAAGGACTTTGACTCCGCGGTAACTTTAAAGCACTTTGCGGATGACACTGTGATTTACTCCAATATCAGTTCCAATGAAGACCAACTAAATTTGGACAAGCACTTGCGTAAGATAATGAAATGGTGTGCTGACTGGCAGATGGAACTGAATATAAGTAAGACGGTCTACATGAATGTAACGCGCAAAAAACAACACTCACAATTTAACTACAGTATTAATGGTCTTCCGCTTGTTAAAGTTAACGAATATAAATACCTTGGAGTGCACTTAAGAAGTGACTTAAGCTGGAACTCCCATATTGACTATGTATGTAAGAAAGCCTTTCAAAAACTATGGATGCTTAAAACAAAGTTGGAGTTCGCTAGTTCCGATGTCAAATTAATCGCCTTTAAGTGTCTAATTTTGCCAACTCTGGAATACGCTAGTCCGGTTTGGGAGCCATTCACAAATCAAAATATTTATAAATTGGAAAGAAGTCAAAATAAGGCTGCTAGATTTATCTTTAATTGCTACCGGTCGACTGAGTCGGTCACAAAACTTAAGGAGCAAGCAGGCCTGCCTAGCATAAAGACCAGATTAGAAACGAATAGAATGAAACTTTTTTTTCAGATATTTCATGGTCATTCGATGTTGGATACCCGAAAATACGTCGTGATGTCTCCTCCGGTGTACCACAGAATAAAACATAGCTTAAATATCCAATCCTATCAATACTCTACGGATCATTTTAAGCACTCCTTTTTTGTTCGATGTATTGATTTCTGGAATAAGCTGCCTGAATGTATAGTCAACTCTCTAAGTGTGTCAACTTTTGTGAAGGAAATTGAAATGTTTCTTTCTTCCCATGTCACCAAGTGATGTGACTGAATTATTGAATTCTTTGTGTGTCCTTGGTATGTTTTTGAAAATATGTACCACTCCTGCCTTGGCCTCACGGCTGGCAGAATGAATAAAAAAAAAAAAAGAAATAAAAAAAAATTTGTCGTTAGTTGTTTATACAGTAGGAGTTTAGCCTGCAATGTTTACCCACTGTAGGTGAGAAATTTAGTTCGTGCAGTACGACTGCTAGCCTGTGGTGTTTAACGTGCATCACACAGTAGTGATGCACAACAGCGTGCCAAAACCATGCTCATCCAGATAGAAACGTGCAAAGGCGGGGATTGAACCCGAAATCCCTGAATTCTGCAGCGCGAGCTTTCACTACACGTGCTCCGAGTTGGTGTGCGCTAAAGTCACTGAATCCTGGAAAAGTAGCGCCATTGCCTTCCCCGCCTGCTAGCCGAACATAAACAAAGACTAACATACAGACGACCGAAACCTCGCAAGGCGATAGGCTAATCGAACTCCGTTGCTATGGCAATCACCATTTCGGTCCCTTCAAATCTTTGATAGGGTTGGTCAAATCGAGTCGCACTAAGATCACCATGAAGCATCATCGTACTGAAGGCGTTCCTCGCCAATATAAGCGTCTTTGGCGGTGTGTATGCAATCAGCTTATTAATTATGCCCACCTCCACGGACCTCTTTCGATTATATTGTTCTTATTTCGTGTCTCAAGCCAGAAAATTTATTTTTCAATGCGCCCAAGCACCGACACCGCATGTGGTGGTAGTACGAAGATGTATGCCTGTTTCGCCGGTGTATGGATAGCGAAATTTCGGTACACAAGAAGCGTCTCTATAAAGCTACATGTCACCAGCGAATTTAGATTGGCTCACCAAGAATGGAGAAATCAGAGTATTTGCCAATTTCATCATCCAAAATGGCAACCATACAAGGAGCTTGGCGCTACTTTCCCACGATCCAGTTACTTTAGTGTGCGCCAGCCCGCTCGGCCGCCGACCCCATTCTTTGACCAGAGCCTCCTCCGTTCACCCTCAAGCTGAGACTAGAAGCTCCGCCTTCAGCGCGAGCTTTCTGCCCTTGCTAACACAAGTGTGAACACGCAGGCACCCACAACCAAAGCACTGCGGAAGCCAGCGAGCTCGCGCTGAAGGTGAAGCTTCTAGTCTCAGCTTAAGGGTGAACGGAGTATATACAGACTATTTACTGGCGGCCGTAGCTGTGTACGCAACTGCTGAGCGCGTACAGAAGGTAAGCTTCCAGGTATTTTGCCACGTGCATTGAGCACCAACAAAATTACTGGTCATAACAACCTAGTAATGTGAACTCGTTATGAGCATGCGCTCTACACATCGCCCTCAAATATGGCGTCCGGTGGAAAAGTGCGCATAGCTCCCGGCTGGTGGCGCGCCACAGCGCCAATGTCTGCGGTGAAGACAATTTTTCGCTTCAGGGATCATACACGCCAGGGAATGGGTTATCGTGCCTGTAAGGCGAGTAGCCCTTGGTTTGGTGACCTGAGACGGTGGAGGAAGAGGAAAACACGAAAAAGGAAAACACACAACGTCTCCGAACATAGCTTTGAATTTATTCAACAAGGAACCCTTTTAGGCAACGCCGGGAAACCCCCGCAATTTCAATTCTTGAACTTTCTAACAGGGAAGCGATAGAGAGAACCTTCCCCAATAACCCCCACAAGGTGAGGGAACGGAACCCATAAAGAAATCTTGATTTTAATGTGGTTTTGGTATATCCTTTATTTGCCGTTGTTTCAATAACTATTTTGAATTATCTGGATAATAGATAGCTTGCTAAAAAGATTAAGGCCTGGGTGTTCCGAAAATGTCTTTAGTTTGTGTAGCTGAAAATCCAGCGGAGCTTTAGGTTAAGAAGAGATTGTACTCGATGTGCTGCGTCTAGATGAACATTCTCCAACCCCAGGTGCAGCACGTGTCTCAAATACTGCCAGGAGCAAACGGCGAGTCCCTGCTGACTTGCATGGGAGCCACTTCCGGGATCGGTCGGATCGTGTTCGGCAGGATAGCTGACCTTCCAGGCGTCAATGCCCTGGTGCTGCAGCAGGTACGTGGCTTTCAATGGTAAGTGCTGGTAGGCTCAAGGTAGTGGGTCGTGTTCCTGAAAAGACACCCTGGGCCTCGATTGTCTTACGTGCTCCCGGCGTGTTTCTATTTTTTTATTTTTTACGAAGAATATGTTTTTGTTTACTTCATCGGGGGTTGATCTTGAAAATAAATGTTACGCCATGGACGAGAGTTACTGAAACGAACAGATGTAACCTCACGGACAAATGTGAAGTTGTGCACGCAGCATAAAGTCATTTCTCGCTAAACTTAGCGGGGAAGTTGCTCACAATAGATTTGGTGGGCAGATTGTTAGGAGCTATGGTCATCGCAAGGTGAGAGCCGGAAAATATGACGATGAAGAAAAGAGAGGGAGGCTCAAGGATAAAATTATTAAAGGGCCGATTCTCGACTGACGCTGGCTTGAGTCCCGAGTTTCCGAGGCCCTGACAACACAGTCAGTTTACCACGCCACGTGACACGAAAGGGAACAGATACCCTCACAAATTATTTTTCAATTTAGATGTCTCCGTTCTAGTTGAAGGGAGACCATCGCGGTTTTTGTCGAGCTATAACCCCATCCCTGTCCGTTTCATTCAGGAGCAGCATCGTGCAGGCGTACGGTCGTGTATCCTTATTGCCTGATGCACGTTAAAGACCCCAGGCTAGCGGTCGTACTGCACTGGCTGAAATTCTAATCTAGAGCTGAGACACCAGACGCCCATTGAGGCTGACTAACACAACGTTACTATTTTTACTTGGAGCTGCAATATCACCAAGCATTAAGAAAAAGAAACAGTTTGAAAAATGGCCTTGAAGGACACCTGATGATTCCTCCCCGATCTGAACAAAAGTTAGAACTAACATTTCTGTCAGACCTGTCACACCAAAAGTCCAAAAGCATAATTCTTACAACGCTGTCAAATGTCAAACGAGTAATGATAAACAGAGCTTTTAGTGGTAAAATGAGATTACTTCCCTCAGTTTGTTGTAGTCTAGTTTTTATCTGCATGTAGCACATCTGCTTGCGTTCAGGTAGACTCTAAGCCCAGAATTTGACGGTCAGCTGACTGTCTTTGGTGCCAACCACCTAATCTGCCCAGATTGTGTAATATTCTTATTTGGAATATTTGAAACGTTTTAGTGCATTATTTTTGTGTGTTGAGCAACGACTGCTCTTATCCAAGCCAGCTATGTGTCATGAAACACTCGAGGAAGCCAGTGACTTTAAAGAAAAAACTGACTACTTTTCAATACTAGAAACACTATCATCGACATGAATATACTTTCTGTCGTAACGACCTGCTCCCCGTCCCTATTGAGAAAAAAAAAACAATAACAAAAAAATGCGCACTCATACGACCGAATTCCCACAATGCCTTATGAAAGAACCATATTACATATATATAGCGCATTTCAATGAAGAATGCACAGGTCAATTTGGTATTTGGATATGGTTCTTTACCATAGTTTCCCTGTCAAATAATGCCGTGTAAACGGCATTGTTCTTTGCCGCTTGTCTTTAATATTTTTTCAAGTAGCGATAATTTAATTAACTATATGCGGCACACAGCATCACCAATGTTTCGTGTGGTTTATGTGTATAATATACGTGTATACAGGCCATTTCTCCTGCCAAAAGTACACGTCGCTGGTTAATGTCCTATTCGTCACAGGCAAAGGCACTCTAAAAAAGAAAAATTTGTTTTTGAAATGGTTTTTGATTCTTCAAGAACTCTCTGAGCTCGTGAAGAACGGTTTCGCCCCCTGGCGCGCTAGAAAGGCAACTGAGCGATAAAGAACTCTTTCGCATCAGAAAGGGAGCTTAAAAGTACTTCTTATAGGTTTCTTCACGAAAAACCCTGTTGGGGGTGCTTAAAATAACTTCTTAGGGTGCAAAGTACGGGAATGTCAAAGACCTCCTCAAAGTTCTTTTAATTTTTTTTTTTAGAGTGGGGCTTGTTTGGGGAGAAATAGAATAGCGTTGGGCATAATGTGTTTATTATTTACTTTGGAGTAGTTCACTTTTTCATTGTAAAATTTTAAGGTATGGTTTCAGTCAGAAACCTGCTGGGCGTAATCTAAAACAACGACATCAATTGATTTTAAAAATATACAAGGCACGCACAAAATTTTTCGACGTTCCGAAGAAAAACGCTCAGTTTGGACGCGTTTCTAGGTTTCGATTGGCCTCCTTCTTGTGTTTCGGAGCACCAGAGCAGCGGGTCACGTTCCCGTCGGCTGATGACGTACCCTTGAGCAGTGCAATATTACGGGCGCAGCCGCAGACGCATTCGAATAAAACTTCACTGCGTGAGTCATCCTACTATCTTAAGTCAACCACCACCAGGCTCGTGCTGCAACGGACTGTGACTCAGCTTTGCCGGCTGGGTGTACTGTGTACGCTAAGGCAAGAGAGACGGTTAGCAGCGGGCATTGGATGCCAGCAAAAAGAATGACTCAAAAAATCCCTACCTAAGGACCTGCGGCAGGAGATGCTCTGACTCCACTCCTGGCACGCCACCTGGAGCGTTCGGATTTGTATATTTTTTTTTCGGAGAAGGGGGGTGTTTGTCAAGAAATATAAAAAAATATATTTCATCTCGATTGCATCGCGATACGAAGAAACATTGAATATGTGTTTGTATACAGGAATACAGATAGTGGTGGAAAAAATGTATCGCGATACAGAAATACGGATACGAAATGTATTTCTGAAATACTATCGCGGATAAATTTGTATCGCGATACTACCTGACCCTGCAGTTCTCCACCCAGCCTCGGGTGGTTCAAGAAAATGATTAATTATTAGACCTTTTTTTTTGTGCGTGGGTCTTTTGTATGGTGTTATCGAATATTGGTCATATAAGTGCGTGCGGTTTATCTTTTCAGTGGGAATTGCAAACGAAGGCAGAGTTAATTGTCTAGCGACTCCCGCGACTATAACGCAGGTCTCCTTTCTGGTGATGGGCCTGCTGACTATGTGCATGGCAGCGGCGAGCCACTTCGCCGTCCTGGTGGCGCTGTGCCTGGCGCTGGGCCTGTGCGACGGCTGCTTCATCTCGCTCATTGGGCCCGTGGCCAGGCTCATCGCGGGCTCCTCGGGCACCTCGCAGGGCATCGGCTTCCTCCTCGGCGCCTGCTCCCTGCCACTCACCGCTGGACCCCCCATCGCAGGTCAGCATACGGTTTATTAGGCTTACCCGCCATCGTAAAAGTTTAGACCAATATGCAGGGTGGCGTAAACAGAGGGAGTGGCCGTAAAACGAGCCGAAAATATCGGCAAAAAAAAGGCCCGAATTTTCATGAAAAAAGTATCTTAAGGCACGGAACGTTTTTTAACGGAACTCGCATCTCACAAATTTGTCCCTCCATCCGGCTGTCCGTGTATTGCTGCGCTGAATAAAGCGGGCAAATTGACGTGTCACGTATGTCATATCGTGGCATCACGTGATGACCTGACTTAACGTGACGTCATGTGACCGCATTGCGTGACGTCAGGTCACGTGTGATAGTATCACGTGACGTCAATTCCCCGCTAAATTTAGCAATACAGTTTACATGACGGGACCTTACGTCACGTGGCGTGGTAACACAACGTGACGTCACGTAAATGTTTTCGCTAAATTTAGCGGGGAAGCGATGAAATACCCTATTCTTCACTCCCCGAAATGACTTTTGAAAGTCTTCTCAACCAATTTTAACGATCGTTCCTTAAAAATTGCATTCCATTCATTTTAGGACTTTGGAGACAACGGTTTCTGGTAATTTTAACTGTTATTGGTCTACTTCATCTTGAGAGCATTTCCAGGCATAGCATGAAATTTCTCAAGAATGAGTAGGTCCACCAAAGAAAAGGCTCAGGGTGTCGTCTACCGCATACCGTGTTGCGGGGATTGTACGGCCTTATACGTTGGGGAGAGTAAAAATTTCCCAGAGAGGCTCACGCGACACAAATACGAAGTCCGATAAAAAGATGAGGAAGCTAGTGCCTTAGCAGAATACGTAATTTTTTTGTTCAACACTCTCTCTCTCCCCCCCCCCCCCCCCCCGCCCCCATTTTCTTTCTCTTGGATCGCTACCAGACGAATTGCACGTGCTCTGCTTCTTTCGCCAATCGGCGGACCATCGTGCTTTGTTGCAGTCAAATTATGTAAATATTGAATATACGACTTCGTTGCCGATGTCCTGCTGATTCTATACTTTCTAGAATGCTCTAGGAAAGATAATTAAAATATTGTTTTGAAAAGTGAGCAATGCATCTCCAATTGTTTTCAATGCCAGATATATAGATACGAGGCAGCGCTGAAAGCGAGCAGTCATTTTGGAAGAAAAACATGTAAAGGATCAAGAAGAAAGTTGAGGCACTGAATATTGAGTTTTCCTTTGTAATTATATAGTTTTCCGAAAAACGGAATAATATGTGTTATAAATGCTAAAATATGGTTTCAATTGTTTGCTTAAGATCGATCTGTATATCTTTGAAACGAAAGTAGAGAGTGCAAAGTGGATTGTTTGTATCGCGTCGTTTGAAGCGCAATCAAAGTTCTCGTTGCAAAACTGTGCATTCCATGGAGTACTATGAAACGCCATCTAGATGCTGTGAATCAAAATATATGCATTCCATAGAATACATTGCAGTTACCACAGCAGCCGTCCCCCAAAACGATGGTGCATCGAACGACGGGAGGCGGGCCGTGACATCATAACGCCTGTTGACGTATGCACGGAGGGAAAAGTTTCTAGGAGTAAGAGTTCCGTTGAGAAGGATGCAGATCATGCTTTAAAGTGTTAATATTTTAAGGGTGTCGCTATATAATAAAACAAACTTACACCATTCACAGATCTCTGTTCCCTACAGTACCATACCTGTATTAGTGAAAGAAAGGCACACCATGTGATGAATGTAAAACTCCCAGTACAGAATGCTCGATGTTGGTGCCATAGAGTTCTTACAATGTACACTAGAGGTTCAACTAGCGCTTGTGTGCTGTTGCAAATTGAAGCAGACAGCAGCTAGTGGAACATTGAATTCCGGTAATGTGCTTCTACAAGAAAAAGTGAGTGAATTTTCTTTCTGCACTAATATCACAAATAATTCGTATGCACTGGGCACCTTAGAACATGCCTCAGCCACGCAGTTGAAATAATTGGCCAGCTATGGCGTTTTTCTTTTTCAGATTTAGGATATTGAACACAGTAGAAAAACAGTTTCATACAAGCATTTATCTGCACTGTCGGACACGGTGAGCGCGAACATGACGTCGGCGCCTTTCAGCATGGGAGATATGCGTGCCAAACGAACGAAGGACACCTAAAAAACCAGGAAAGAAGCGAGAACTACGCAGTAACACAGGATAAGTAACTCCCTGAGCGTGCAGACTATCAAAATAAAATTACAGCCAGGTAATATAGTCCAATTCGCAATAAATAAGTGCTATTTTATTCTTTCTGCTCGTGAATACGTGCGAAGATGCTTGTTTTGCGTTTAAAACATCACTCGCACGCTCAAGAAATATTTGAAAATAGGTAGAAGCCAGAAAACAAGTGCCAGATAAGAGGTGTCCGGCATAGGAAATAATAAAAGAAAAGTAAAAAAAAAAACATTCACAACCCACACACTTTAAGCTTATGCGGAGCGCAAGTTCTCTGCCTCTTGCAAAGCGGTTGCGATGATGTCAGAATGCCGAGCTCTAATTGGCTGATAGAAAAAATGAAAGACGTTTACAACTGACCTTTTTCAGAGTTTGGCCACGATCGTGGCGCGCCCTCGCGGGAATCGCTCGAAACACTTTTGATGGCTCCGGGAACGTCTCTCCGTCGTCCGCGCCAGGCCTGGCTTGTCACCCGGTCCACGTGTTTGCGTGTGTTCTCTGGAGGCGTTGTTCCCTCCTTCACCAATTTGAACATGTCTTTCTGTCGTCGCTTCGCGTGCATATTTTCTTCGAAATGGCTGAGAAGGACCGGGAGGATTAACAAAAGTCAATGTCTAGGATACAGATGACCTTGTTCGTTTTTATACCTTCAGGGATGGATAGACCGCCGACGCTGCATCGGTTCTTACCATCGACTCGGAGTCACTTCATAGTCACTTCGGTGTCGCGTCTTTCAAGCAACTAAAAAAAGGGGTCTGTTTGCAAAGCAAAGTCGCAAAGTGTTATGTAAAGAAACTAATGGTGACCAGCTTGGATATCGACCCAACCATACCTTGACTGGAGCTTGTGAGCTCCGTTTATAATTCCCGGCCACTACAAACAGCTGAATTTACTCTCCTTGATCGCTTAAGTTATTCAAGCTTATCGCATCCGTCACTTCTCTGTCCTGCAGGACGAGAAGTGACGGATGCGATAAGCTTCCGTGCCGTGCCCTCGCGCAGTACACATGTGTACTGCGTGAGAGCACGGCACACTGCCGTATTCGGGAATGCGTAAACAAACTCGGGTGGTGCGAAGTCCGAGCCGTCTTGATATCGCGAAGGATTGCCTGCACCGTCAAAAAGTAAGGAACGGTATGTTAGAAACAACCTATCTTTGAATTCGGCACGTTTACGAACCTTCGACAAAGTTGGCCCAGCAAACAAATATGTTCACGGTTGGTTGCCAAGAAGTTTCATCAAGGTTAACTGTCTCCGTAAGGCTTAAATTCGTTTCTCTCGCTTTAAATGTTTTGTCAGTTCTTTTTTTTTTTAACGTGGCAAGACGCGAATGTGTATAGCGCACGCCTGAAAAACGGAAAGCATTATGTTGTTATTTTTTAATGGAATACCGGGTACGGCATGATTACGTCGCACAACCTCGCTTGCACGTTTACTTTTAACAAAAACATGGTCAAAGTGCAGGCGAGCTGGTGTAAGTTTAACATGATGGAAAACTTGATATATGAATACATGAAAGCTTGATGGAACATCGAGGGCAGGGACGGAAAGAGTACTTCTTTCAAGAAGTCCTGTATCCGTCCACGCGTCCTTGATGTTTTATTCTTTCATGTTAATCGTATATATTCACCAACACTCTCATTTTTAATTATTAAACCTGAGACTGAAGTAGGAAAAGGAAAACGCAAAGAAAAAACGGGGAACGTCTCAAGAGACGTTGCCTGTTCTTTTTCTGTCCTTTTGCGTTTTCCTTTTCCTACCCCAATTTCAGGTATATCATCATGTTCACATTTCTGTATTTTAGTTAAAAGCAGAATGTATCGCTGTCACATTGATGATCCAGCCACCTGACACGAGGACCCTCGTCATAGGCTTTTGAAAGCAGGGCAAAAAGGGCGGGGTGTTTGACATCGGGTGCTTTCGTGGACCACCCGCCAAAAGCTACAAGAGCGTTATAAAATTTGTCATTTTAACAATATTTACTTCTATTTGTGCAACCTTCTGCTGCGCGATGGTGAGGCATGACGACTATGAAGCCAAGCCGCGAGAATACCGGAGGAGTCAAGCATAACCAGCACTGTCTGAGCGACCGAGCGGGCGAGAGAGCCACCATAAATGGCGCCTTTCCCTTTTTCATTCTCTCTCAGAGTCGGCGCATGCGCCCAGCGATCTCTGAAAAAGGTCAATTCTCTATAACGCCGAATTAGAGCGCAGCTTTTGAGGACGAGGAGGGGAGGGTATGCCCTCCTCCCCCTCTCCTCTTTCTCTTCTGCTCCCCTCCCATGTAGCAGGAAATGTTCGCTAAATTTCCCACTGAATTTAGTGAATCTTTTTCCGCTAAATTTAGCAGGAAAATTTCCCTGCTAAATTTTCCGAAAAATTTTACCCGGTAAATTTAGCGGGAAAATTTCGCCACTAACTTTAGCGAAGAAACGCCGCATTATGCAGCGTGTGGTAACGCCGACGGCGATGCCACTCAACCCGAAAAAATCCCGGCGAAAGCGTCGTCGGCTCCGAGCGGAAATCGGGACGGTGCGGGGACTCAGATATATATCCAAATATCTGAGTCTCTGGATCAGTTCCGATCTTAGATGGGATAAACAGATTAATTTAATTTCCTATAACGCCCTCCGTCGATTATTTTTTTCTCAAACACTAAAGTCAGGAACTTTAGATACTAGACTCCTGGCGTACAACACTCTTATCCGACCGACCCTAGAATATGCAAACATTATTTGGGACCCATTTACACAGGTAGGAATTAATTGCATACAACAAATACAAAATGAAGCTGTTAGATTCA